AATTAAATATAATAAATTTACTCTTAAAATAAGTGAATAATCTTTATATATATATATATATATATATATATATTTGTGATAATATGTCCACAAAAAATTTCATTAATAAACCTTTAAATTGATTATCAAAATTCAAATGATTCATACAACTTTCTGTGAATGTTTTAAAAGTCATACACAGTATCTTAAATTTAACGAAGCTTCATCATTATATTATATTATGACTACAAAATTTGTCTATTATAAATTCAACATACTTCATTTATAGTTGTTTGGCATTCTCCGATAGAAGTCAAATTTTATATCCATTTGGAAAGAAGAAATAAAAAGTTCATTACTAAAAATTTATATTGATTTTACTTTTCTTTATTAAAATCCAAATTTTAACATTTTCTTTTATCTTTTTCATTCATTAATGATAACTTTAAATATTTGTTCAAAAATTATGAAATTTTTTCAAATCTTAAAAATTCATAAAATCTTTTCAAAATTTATAAATTTTTAGGATATAAATCTATTAAAATTTAAACTATTAAAAAAATAGATGAAGAATTATTAATCATCCATAAAACTAAATTGATATATATTATTATTAGTATATTCTTATTTGGTTTTCCATTCTCTGATATTTTTGGCATTTTGAGATTTATATGCAGGATATACTTGGCTCAACTTGCTGTAGTAAACGGACATAAATGAGTCACATGTTGAAAGCTAATCCAACAAGACCTGCATGGTTCAGCCATGGCAGCTGGTAATTAATCAGTGATTTTATCAAAATTTTGTTTATATACAGTAATACAGATAATATTGATGGAGAAAGATGTAAAAGAGCCAGCTAGGCTAAGAGCATCACGCTTATGCCACAGTTGAGCATGGATACTGGATAGATTTTCATCATTGAACACGTGTAGGTTAACTTAGAAAGAATTGTAGGAATTTCTTAGAAAATGGAGCTTTTGGTTATGATATTCAGATTTCAGAACAGATAAGAGAGAGACAAAAGAAACTAACAACGACGTGATGATCGTGTTTGTTTTACAATCGGAATGAATGTGTCACATTCATGAACTGTAATGTAAGAATTTGCAGCCTAAAACATTGCATGCAGCTTAGCCCTGCACCTGCCTAGCACTTTCTAGTACAACTGTATATACATACCAACATACTTATTAATTAGAGAAATATATGGGTAAAAAATTAGAGAAATATACAATCATTATGATTAACATTTTATTTAACTAAAATGAAAAAATATTCACTCATACACACTCCAAAATTGAGATATATGGGTAAAAGCAAATAGACAAATGAGGAAAAAAAATTAATAATAATAGATGTGATAAATATTATAATGAAAGATAAAAAATAGGGATAAAATTAAAGATAATTAAATGAATTAGAAGTATAAGATGAGAGGGAAAATACATGAAGAATAATAATAAATCCTTAAAATGTTGGTATATTTATATATTTTAGATAACAATTAGTATAGAGTATGTATTAATGTATATGCCAATGGTTTAATTATGACATGTAATATTGTAAAAGAAAAGACTTTTAAAGAGGACCAATAAAATTAAAAAATTTCAATAAAATACAACTTTGTCATTTAACTATGAATTGTCAAAATCGAAAATTATTGAATTTTTTAATCTTTTTAAAAGGAACATTTAAATATTGTAAGAAAAACGACATTTTTTGTAACAAAAAAATTGCTAAATATCAAAACTACACTAAAATAAATACTATTTTGTGAAAATAAATTAAATTGAACTATACATGTGCTGTATTGACAATTATTAATTTGAGTTAATGATTTTAATGTAATATTTTGATAAAGTATAAGTACATCTGTGATAATTTAGTTTGCTAAAATATTAAAGGATCTAAGTCTGAAATTTTTATGAGAAAAATATTCATTAAAAAAAATATAAGAGTTACTGTAACTCATACAAATTATTATGGCAAGTTTACATATTTAAGTAAACCTCACAGAAAACTTTAGGCATTATGGTGTAAGATCTATAGTGATTTGTAATTATTAATTTGTCTGAGTTAGATAAAACTATTATGAACTTTAAATTTTATTAAATTAAAATAATTTTGTAGTTGATCTACGTGTTCTGTAGTATATATATATATATATATATATATATATATATAATATTTTATTTCTTATAATCTATAAATGTTATATTGCTTCTAAAGTTCTTATATATATATATATATAATATCTTATATTTTATTAAAAATATTATGATATATTTTAATATATCTTTTATATTAATTATATTTTCTCTTATCTATAGTTCTCTTTTAAATATTTGCTCACATTTAGACTTAATTTGGAAAGAAAGAAAGAAAAAGGTAAGAGGGAAATGAAAAGTTATCAAAAATAAATTTAACTAGTTTAGTGTGAAAGAAAACAAACGAAAAAAGAAAAAAAAAAATCATTCAAATATTCTTTCTTTTCATTTGGAACAGAAAGAGAACAATATAGAGTTAAATGGCTACAAGTCAAAAATAACCATTTATTATACATTTTTAGGACATTTATGTCAATGCATATACATATTTTCTTTTCTTTCATTCCCTTGCTTTATACAATGATACAATCTAAATAAAAACATTTCATTTTTTTAATCTTTAATTGCTTTCACTTTTTCCATTATTTTTTCTCACTAAATCAAACAAAATCATTGATTAATGATATTGTAAAATTACAAATAAATTTTTTTAAAAAATATTGTTAAAACACATGTACTACTACAACTGACCTAAAACTGAAAGTTAGAAATAATATATGTAGAGTCCTAAATTTGAATTTTGATATGGTTATTGTAATTTGTATAAATAAAAATAATATATAAAAAAATATTGTTTAAAATGAAAAGTAATGAATAATGTATCTATATATTACCCCAATCCAATTAAATTTAAAATTAAATGCACCTTTCATTTCACTTTGTACACGCCTCTCACTTACAGCAAAAGAAGAAAACCCATAAATATGAGATTGAGAATACTCTGATTTTAATTCATGGATATTTAAAGTGATAAAGTTAACCTGTCGTTTACCTAAATATACATGCATCAGCAACAAAAAAGACGTGCTAATGTTACAGTTTTTGATGCCAGATAGACAGACATAACGAGATGACACGTGACATTGTGGGTGCAATGTGCTACGTACCCACTTGGAAAAAATACATATGGTGTGTATCCAGTTGCAGTGGAATTAACACCCATAATTAGTAATGATATTAACTACGTGAATCATGGGTTCTTGGTCAACAATTTCACCTCTAATTTGGAGGAAGGGTGAAAGTGAAACTTTTGAGAATTCCAAATCAAGACAAAAGCCAAACCAACAAAGTCACTGCTTCACTGCTTGCTGGAGAGGCAGCCAGAACCGGTAGCATAGCTACTTGTTTCGTGCTCCCAACTCCCAAGTCCTTTTAATTTGCACCAGGCTCAAGGGTGCACACTAATCTTCTTCTTCTAGGCACCTATAATTCTATATTTTTCACATTTTTGTCTTTTTTTTCTTTCATTACCAAGAAATATATATTTCGAAAATTTAAATTCTGAACATTAGACGGTCGAGAGTCTTTATTTACTTGCCCCACTTTAGATTGGTGTTTCTAATTTTTGTCTTTGCTGAGTGATTAATTATTCTCAAGAAATTAATTAAACAATAGGTTTAAATGCCGTCAAGGCATGCAATTTCTACACACATGTGAAAACTATTACGCAATTAAAAGGGATCAAGACAACACACATACAGTAAAACATCTACTATGGTCGGTGGATTACTAATGTCTATGATAGGGATGCATGTAGATAAGTACTATTTAATTACAGTGTGAACAATTTTTATATTACGTTCAAACAATGTCTCATATACACAGAGATAGAGAGAAATTTGGTTGAGTAAATGTTTTGTATTTTAAAATTCATAAAATTGTAAATTTACACCGAAGCAAAATTAGTTTCATATTTATTTCTTGTTAGTGGTCATTTAAAGTTATTATACGTAAAAATATAATATATATTTTTTTGTTTTCCATAAAATGATTTTCTCAACCTGTAGCTAACCTTATTGCAAACTTTTTCTTTCAACGCTAACAATGCTCTAAGCTTTTCTTGTGATTCTGTCATCGTTTATTACAACTTTGGATGATATCCACTGGGTTCATCATTTTTGGTTTTGCCTTATTTTTTGTTTCTTTTTGTTTGATTTTCTTTCCTCATTTTGTTGTTTCTTGTTTAGTCAGGCTTCCGTTACTTTGCTCTCGATCCTCATCCCTTTGTTGTCAAAGTTTTGCCCTCTCTACCATTAGGTAGGCCATTTTTGTTGCTAGTTTCATCTTTTACTTGTTTTCGTTTTCTATCGTTGACGATAAATTTTGTCAGAAACTTGTTTATAGTTTTGAGATTATAAAAGATAAATTATATTAAATATTTTGTACTTAATCAAAATTGATTGAGATAAGTAATGACAATTTTTGCTTTTTAACCAAATTATATAAAACTCAAATTTTGACCTTTATGTTGGGAGAAAATTATTTATTTTGTGTAGTTTTATTGTTAACGACAAAAATTGATCGTTATTTCTGATGGTAAATAGTTTGTACTAATATTATGATAATAAAAAATTTGAAGTTATTAAATTGTTCACTATACCATATCAGTATGTTGGTAAAAATATTAATGCATAATCTTAACATGTTAAAATGACGTTGATATTTGAAAGGAAAGCAACTAGCTAGCGACATTTTGTTTTTAATGTAGTCTTGTTTATTAGTTAAAAGCTATGACATACATATATAAAGGAGTAGTGGTAAAGCTAAAGTAATAAATTGGTAACATTTGTTGATTAATTAGTGAAAATGAAGTATATGGAATGATTAAAATGACAAGGAAGTAGTAAGATAACATGGGTTGCGTGCTGAGACTGACACAGAGAGGTCCCGCGTCATTGTGATAAACAAGCACATTTGGCTTAAGCCACTTGAAGTCTAACAGTTAGGGGACACATTCAGAAAGGACAGTATGGCGTACCTCTCCATTCCTATTCCTCTTATTAATAACAATCCTAAGTCTTAACCTTAATTAATCCTCCCCTCTCCCCCTCTTAAATATTCCCTCTCCCCTTTCCTCCATTACTCACTCTCTTCCACTCTCTCTTATTCTCTCTTTCTCTTTCTTGCAATGTCTTCCAGAAGATCTCGCTCAAGACAATCTTCTGCTTCCTCTCAGATCACAGATGCTCAAATCACTGATCTCGTTTCCAAGTTGCAACAACTCATCCCTGAGCTTCGCGCTAGGCGTTCCGACAAGGTATTAATATTAATTAACTTTGTTCTCTCACATGCACACACACACACATTGTACATTTTCTGTGGATGCCCTTCATTTTTGCTAGATAACTCATTCCACCTACCTTCTACCTTCTACCTTCTTTTCTTTACCACAACTTCACCCTTTAACCACAGTTTAATTCAGTTGGTTCAACAGAATGCATGAATTGTTGTATTGTAACTCTTTGATACTAAGTTTGATGCTTGAATTATTGTATCCCTTTGATATTATTAATTAAGTTTGATTCTTATTGATTAAAAAAATATTAATTCTCCCCTCTTGCCCCCATTCACTAAACTGCATTACTTATATAACACTAATTAATTAACACCTAGCTAGAACCAAGTGTGTCTTACAATTTAATAAAAAAAATTCTATTAATTATAAATTATTATATATAATAAATTTGTTGACTTTTACAATAATTTTTTTGAAAAATTTTATCTGATGGGTTAAAAGTATAATGTTACATCATGCATGGTTGAAATTCTGTAATGATTTGTGGCAATTGTAGGTTTCGGCTTCTAAGGTGTTGCAGGAGACATGCAACTACATAAAAAACTTGCACAGAGAGGTTGATGATCTAAGTGACCGATTGTCGGAGCTTTTGGCTAACACAGACTCCAACAGTGCTCAAGCAGCCATTATTAGGAGCTTACTTATGTAATAGTCTAGTCTAGTGTTTATCTGTGTCGTGTGCATGTCCAAGTCTCTCTCACTTTTTCATCAGTCTCTTCTGGGTAGGGTTTGGTTTGTACTTTGTAGACCAACGCAAAGGACTACCATGTGAATTAGTTGTTAATTAGTTTTAATTATGTGCCACTTTGTAGTAATTAATTGCCGTCAAGTCAGCTTCTATGGCTGTAAATAAAATGGACTACATCTTGATGAGTTCTAATTACTAGTAGTGTAGTACGAAATGAAATACATATGTACTAGTATGTAACTTTTGTCTCGCAAATTAAGGATAGGTTTGATGCTGTGATATGAATGCATTTTACATGTATAGTGTCAAATCATTTTTCAAATTTGGAGGCTGCAATTCTTGGGTTTAATCTTGGTAATCTATCTTATGAGAGAAATTCTGTGATTTTCTGTGGACCCGTTTGAAGGGCCGAGCTTGAAGCTGACAGTGCCTACAACATGTGACATACCCCACACTATTTCGGTTATTTGTTTTTGCCAACCCGTGATATTAATGTTCGCATTAGGACCACAATATAAAATAACTAACTCATCATCCAAACCATGATCTTTGCCAGCGTACAATTACATATATACACATGTAAAAAATCACAAAATCCATGTGTTGTTACCAAATACCAGAGAAAAAGAAGAAAAGCAAGCACTGGTATACTATATTGAGTTTGACTCCTATCAAGTGGGAAAGTGTAAGAAGTGAAAATAAAAATAAATGTTTATCAATTTGTAATCAATTTAAATTAAAATATTCAGTAAATTTATCATACTTTTAATTAAGTTAATGTTTTATTATCGAGTGGTACAGGTTTGAATCTTGACTTTTACAAATATAGAAAATTCAAGTTAGAAAAAAATATTTACTTAATTAATGTTTATCAAACTTTTAAAAGAAACTGTTTTCATTTTGACAAAAAAAATTACTCATTAATATCTACTTATTTATTGCTATTGTAATTTTCTCTCTTCTTACTCTTTCTAAAATTACTTCTTTTAAGTTAAAATGTAAATAAAGCTTGTTAAACAACTTATTAATTAATTTTACTTTAAAACTCTTATTTTGAAGTTTAAATTTTATGTAAGGAAATAAATGTTAACCAAACTTAACCAAAATATATTCGTTCCCAAATATTAATTTTGTATCTCTAGTATTGATAGGTTTGGACTTTTAGGTTAGTTAATTTTAATTTAGCTGATTCTGTTCTGGTCAATTTATCTGGCAATAAAGTGAAAACAAATATGACGACCCCACACACCTGCAGGTACCATTTGCATGCAATATGTGGTGGGGGAAGGTTGTTTCACAATGTCTCCCGGCCCCCAAAACAAAAAGCTACTTCTACAGCACAAAATTAAAATAGGGGTATATATATAAATAAAGAAAATTTAGGTTATGAAATTATTATACTCTTTAATTCAACCTTAAATTGCTTTGAATCCATGTAGGGATAATTTTAAATAATTTTTTTCTTTTATAAATATAAGTAGATGCATTAACCATTCTATTAATTAACAATAAGTCACATTTATTATTTTAAAAATATTTAATTAATATATCACTATAAATATAGAGTAAATTAATTACACTCCACATTCTTAAAGTATATGTAAATGTCACTAAATTCTAAATATATTTATATATAACATTTTCACCTGATTTATACCAATTAAGTAGCAAAATTTTAAATAAATACTAATTAATAATATTCTTGTTAACCAAAGTTAATTAACAAAGTTTAAATATTTTACACTAAACTCCATTTATCTCTTTTACATTCTACGAAGCGACATTCTAATGATGTTCTTTGATCAAAATTGGAGTTATACTCCCATAAGATATATTTACATGTAATTTCAATTTAAGTAATATACATTCATTAAATGTAAATATATATTATTAAGATAAGATTTTAATTTTAATTAGAAAAAAAAAACATTAATCATACTTATACTTATGAAACTGCATCTAAATTTTGCCATTTTTATTTACTATCAGTATATTTTAAAACTTAAATATAATTTACTAACATTACTATCGTTAGCGTTTATGTTATTAAGTGTTTTTTCGTAGTATTAAATTGTTCTGAATTTTGGCTAGTACATGACAATAAAAGGTGGATTATAAAAGTTGGCACATATATAATTAAACTTAGTCATTGGAAATAAAGTTTTCATCTTTGAATGCTTTAAAAATATGCAAATTAATTTAGATTATATGACATCACATGCTATATGATGTGAACCACCAAAGTAAATTGCCTTGATTGGACAGGTGAAAAATAAAAATCAAAATACTAATGAAAAAAGTCAAATAAAGAAAAGTCAGAGATATTTATAATGAATTATGAGAAAATACTATTACATTATGATTTAAGAAAATATAAAATACTGATTGATATGTTCTATGAGGACATATATATTTTAACTTTTTCCTTTGAAAGATCGAAGAAAGAAAATTTTATTAAATGACACCAAGACATACAAAGCTCAGGTATCAACTCGGGTGTTACAAACAATGCGAGACTGGAAAAGAAAACTACTAACCAAAATATGCAACCATAATTTAAAAAATAGGAATTAAATTAGTTTTTAATGTAAAAGTTGTGGATGCTTAACCAAGCTTTTCTAAATATTTTTAGGCTTTTAGTATTTTATTTTTATTAATTCACAATTTTGATCTTTGTTTAAAATAAAGACATTCATCTTTCTAATTTTAAAAATATAAAATTTTAGTTATTTTATTAAATTCAAATGTGTTAATTGTTAACTTTAAATATTTATTTATATTTAAGTAATGTGATATAACATTTAAAAATTAAAACAAAAACTAAAAAAAATAACAATGCTAAAAAGATTATTAATAAAATAAATATTGATAACTATTTTAAATAAATACAAATAAAAAAATTATATATAACTTTTTTTTTAATTTATTTTTATATGTCACGTCAAGTAGTGATAGATCACCAAATGTTAAACTTTAATGATCGATGAATATTAAATTAATGGTTAAATCAAAATTTCGTATTTTTATAGATAAAGAGATTAAATATCTCTATTTTAAATAAAGGAACCAAAATTACAAATTGATAAAAATAAAGAAATTAAAATTGTAATTAATATTGGAGTAAGTTAAAAGTTTAGTACTCTCTTTATTTCATAATGACAAAATTTATATGCAATTTTAGCATTTAAAAAATCCATTTAATGAAAGGAGGAATATTTTAGTAATTTGTTCATTCATAAACTATTCAACCACTGTAATGAAAAGTAATGTATTTTTTGAGAGGGTGGATTATTTAAGTAAAATTTGTATAAAGAAAAAGTATTACCTTCGTTCTTATATATAAGATCTAAATACCTAATTCATCAAGATTAAGAAAAGTAGTTAATCTAGTTGATAATAATAAATTTGTTTTTTTTCTATTTTTTAAATTAGTCTTATATTACTTTTCTCTCTTAATTAATATCCACAGCTCTCTTAACCAATTAGAGTGCATACCACGAATTTTTTACCTATATATTATTTTAAAAAAAATACTCAATTAACAACTGTGCAGGTTTATTTACCAAGTTAGAACCATTCACTGTTCAAGCTCAGAATTCGGTTCCCGGAAAATCGAATTCTGAGCATCAAAGTATTATTTTTTTTTGTTTTTTCAACTCAGAATTCGGTTCTCGGGGAACCGAATTCTGAGTTGGTTATATATATATATATTTTTTCGTGCATGTAGGGA